GTATTCCCTTTCCTGCCTCATGGCTCCATGTGTATCCTTCCTGGAGCTGCAAGCTTGGTGGAAAAGGATGACCTTCCCCAATAGGGGAGGGTGCTTCTTCAGTCAGGGGTACACAAGAAGCTGTTCTTCCTTGCTAGAACCTCTGAACAAGCTCTCAAGGCCCATTTGTAGAAGAAAGTAGGCTAATCAAGCTTCCAGGACTCCAGACACACCTAAATAAGGTGCTATCTGTGGCAGTCAGCTTTTCTTTAAAAAAAAAAAAAAAATATATATATATATATATATATATATATCCTTTGACTTCAGGAAGGATAGGATAAGGTCTCTAATTCAGTCCTGGAAAATAAATTGTGATCTCTCTTCCTTGATCAGAAATGTGCAAATAACCCAGGTTTCCCCCAATGAGACACTGACAAGTCAGCACGAAGGGTGCAGTGAAATATCGCTCTGTGAATGAAAAAGGAGCTTTAGTGAAGAGAAGATAACTTCTGAGTCTGCATGCCTTCAATGGATAGTTGTAGGTGCATCAAAATTTTGTGACGCTAAGGAAACAACCTAGATAATCATGATTTCAACCCCGACATTACTGAGCTGATGAACTAAAGCTACCAACCTCTTACTCCTGAACTTCATTATGTGCTCCAAACTAAGCATTATTTGCTGAAGCTACGGTAGTTAGATATCCTGATACATGTCATGAAAAGCTTTTCTAACAGATATTACAGCATAGGCCGTCATCTTTCTAGGACAGCTACAATGGGAGTGAAGGAAGTGATCAAAGAAAGCTCTGGTGTGTTCCACATTTCAGTGCATGCCAGAGGGCTCAGTCCTGAAGAACCTACCTCCCAATGCAGGAGATGTAGGAGATACAGGTTCAATCCTTGGGTTGGGAAGATCCCCTGGAGGAGGAAATGGCAACCCACTCCAGTATTCTTGCCTGGAAAATCCCATGGACAGAGGAACCTGGTGGGTAACAGTCCATAGGGCTGCCAAGAGTCAGACATGTCTAAGTGACTGAGAACACACAGACAAAGATATCTTCAAATACAAGGTCAGAACCTGAATAGGAAGCTGGTCAAAGCTGTGCCATTTGGGTGTTAAAAATGCAAGTAGGTGGTTTTTATTAAGCAAATGTATATATGAGGGTCTTCTGAGTCTTCCTATCTGAGAAGATGACTTATTCATCCATAACACTAATCTGTAACAGAGCTGAGTGCTAAAAGATAACATTATTTGAATATACAATCAGGCTATAATTAACCAGAGATGACAATTATAAATAACACTGTGTCCCAGAGTTTCCAAGAAACCTGACATACACAGTTCTTGGGTATGTTGAAACACTTCCAAGAAAAGTAAAGAAATGAAAAATCTCTTAGAAGTCTTCAATTAAAATGTGTTTCAGTACAAATGACTTTCATTATGTGTTTTGGTACATATGACTGGAAAACATTTGTCCCTCTCTTCACACCTCTAATTGTTTTCATTGCCCAATTACAGCTTTTCAGAATTAAGACATTCTAGTTAAGACAAGCATGTTGGTCATTTGAAATGTGAAGAAAAGTTAACGTGTATAAGACTTGTGTACCCTAGAAAACAGATCTCTGCTATAGGTTTCCAATTATCTGGATTTTGGGACACGCCAGCTCCCTCTATCTTTCTCTCTGCTTCTTCCCCACTTTTTACATTTATGTCACGTACTTTCAGAGTTTAGGAAGTTGGGAGGATTGTTAGAGAAAAATGTCATCCTTTTAGGGGGGAAGAGGAATTTATATATATTGCCTTTATTCCTTTTGTTAGGATCTGTGAGGCAAAATTTCAAGCCAACTACTGATCCAACTATATACTTTGGCCATGGATGAAGTTGGACAATTATAACAATCTATTAAAAAGGTAGGTATTAAAAAATGATGACACCATATGTCTAGTGATGCTGCTTCATGTGGAAAAACAAGCAGCCACTTTTGTTGAGTCAGGTTTATAACTGATTTGATATGCTCAGCAACACAGGGTCTTAATTCAGTTCCTGTAGGAATTTACCCACATAAATATGCCATGATTAACAATCAAAATCATAATTTGATCTAAACTGTAAGCTCTGTAACAGGCAGAGAACATATTTTCTTGTTCTCAATATAAGTACATAGCAGCACTGTCCCTGATACATATGGGTCCTAATGTTGAATAATGACTAATTAAAAGGTATAAATTTGACATTATTTCATTCCCATGAGTTGCAAGCCATAGATTGATCATTAATTTGGTACAAATGTCAGCTAAGCCAGTTCAACAGGAAAAGGCAACCACAGTAATTCCTGCTTCTAAGAGAGCTTCAGTCTCAAGTGTCAAGGGATAAACTAATTTGAATTCTCCAGCTGAAAAGGTTTACTTACGCATTACAAGTGTTTGCCCGACTACTGCAATAATGGATTTTTACATTTTCATGTTTTACAGTTACATGATGCAATTTCATTATTTTAGATTTTCACTTAAAAACCATAAAAATATAAGATCATAGTTGAAGATGTAACTCAATTGCATTGAAAGGGCACGGTGAAGAGATTCAGGAGCATAAACTTCTTGAGGATGAAGATATCTTAATTGGTCAACAGATTCTGGCAGGTATTACTTCAAAAATAGATTTTTTTTAAAAAAAGTTACTATAATTCTGTAAAAGAGAAAGGAAAATTGAAAGGAGTAGTTTTTAACAGAGGAAACTCACTCATGCAGCTCAAATAGGAGATGCTGACCAGAGAAATAAAACAAAGTCTGATTGTGGAAGTGGAAGATGAAGTGGAAATAAGGTCCCGAACAATGGACACTACGGAATAAAATGAATGCAGATGGTTCCACTCCTGTTACTTAATCAAAAGGCTGAGCAGAGTCACTGGAGCCGGCATGAAGTCATGTGTTAGAACAACAGCTGATCTGTATTAGAGAAGATTAACTCGCAGTGCCATGGTGGAAGGCCCAGGATTATTTTATGTACTTCCATTGCCTTACAAGCCGTCAGCACAATTATTGCCCTCCGATGTGAATGACTGATCTGTAACCACAGCTAAACAGCATGCTGCTTAGGGGCCTAGGAGCTTCATGAAGATGAATTTCCATACCATCAAAGTGCTTTTAATGGGCTCCCTGATCCAACCACAAGGCCTGTTTTGCAAGTATATAGAACTCTGGATGAAGGCTTCCTGTCCAAAAGGATTTGGTCGGTTGTCACTTGACAATTCCCAGCCAGCACAGGGGAGGAGAGGGGGGAGATAGGTAGAGTTGTCTCTGCTTTGGAGGATTAAAAAAAAAAAGGGTACAGATGCTGGCTGAATGCAACCAACTGCTGTATCCACAGCTGAATTCAATGCGCTTAACAAATAACGGCAATTTAGCTATGCTTGCGAGGAATAGCTTGAGTCACTTTGCATTAGCATCTGGCTGAGTGTTAAACTCATTTCTACATGGGGTGCAGAGAAAAGGAATTTCTGTTCAAGCATCCTTTCAAGAATGTTTAAATATTTGAATATAAATTCCTTTATGCTTGCTATCATTCCTTCTTTGAGCCATCACTTCGTTTTCCCCCTTCCCTTCTGGTGCTTAGCTAGAAAATTTTCTAGCTGTCCTTCGAGCTGCACCAGTGTTGCTCTTCTTAGGATGTGAGACTGCTGGGGAGGAACACTTGACCATGCTTGGCTCTCCCCTCTGGGAACAACAGAACTGAAATCATGTCTCCATCTTTCTGACCCATGGTCAGGTCAGAAGTACAGAAGAACATCACTTCAAGCATTCTATAGTAATAAAACACATTATTTTTTCTGAATAAAATACAATGTAGCTTAGACAAAATAGTTTGAAATTACTGTAGCCCAGATAAAGTACACATGTGGCAGGATCACACCTTCACTATGCAAATTGCTAGCTTCTATATCCCTGGATTGGGAAGATCCCCTGGAGAAGAGAATGACAACCCGCTCCAGTATTCTTGCCTGGAAAATCCCATGGACAGAGGGGCCTGGAAGGCTACAGTCCATGGGGTGGCAAAGAGTTGGACACGACTGAGTGACTGACATTTTCACTTTCACTTAGAGATTATACGTAAAATTCCATAGAAAACCTGGGAAACCGGAAAGTTATCCAAATGAGCAACCTGTCCATTCTGGATGATGCCGTTTGCTTCATAAGCTTCCTATGATAATTAAGTTTTGAGTTATTACTAAGAAGCTGATCATTGTTTCTCTTATATACTGTATTTAGCTACTGGATTTTGAGAAAAAGGGGATTCAATAACACTTTAAAATTTGAATTAAAAATACCAAATATGACCAAAGGAAGTATAATCACTTCAAGCCTTCTATAGTAACATATTATTTTTTTCTGAATGCAATACAATGAAGCTTAGGCAAAATAGTTGGAAATTATTATAGCACAGATGAATTCAGAAATTTCACTGGGCTTAAGTATAATAATAGGTATATTAATATTGTCCCCATTTTCAAGAAAAAACTTTGTTTTATAATCAAGTCAGAATTCCCAATTGTGCAGTCACCTACAACGTGACAATGCTTTATGCTGGAAACATATTATGACAAGCTCAGGCTCTCAGATACTTAGACCTCGAGCACGGGTATCATCCAAGCTTACACTGATTAAAGAAGATTCAGCTTTTTCAAATCCAGCTCATCCCCAAATACAAGTTGAGCATCTCTGTAAAGCAAAAGTTTCACTTAGACCCAGATATTTCAAATGCCACTTCATTTTAATACTCAGTGGTGGCAGAAGAGGGGATAGTAATTGTCAATAAGGTTCAGATGGATAGAAGAGAACTATTAACGCTTCTCATTTCCAGATGGTTTTGATTAGGATGGGCATGAAGAATTCTGTACTGATCAAGGGAAAGAGGGAGGGAGAGCAGTCATTCTGAGGATGGTGAGAAGAGAAAAAGATAAAGAAGACATTCAAGCAATTTAAGTATTTTTGGAAAGCCAACCATTATGTTAAAAACTCACCTTTTCTGTCCGGCAGTTATTGAGACCTAGACTATTCACAACAGCCACCTTCCCATCAAGCACCTGCTGTTCCCGCCGGAGCTGCTCCTTCATCTGCCGAGCTTCTTGGATTGCCTTGGTGACAGCATCATGGTCATTTAAATAACCTGAAGATGTAACAGAACGAAGGATATGTTTTGCACAAACATATAGACAGGTTAACCTTCCACCATAAAAATCACTTCTTTTTTGGGAGTGGCTAGTGTCTGGCATGTACTAAGTTTTTCAATGGGATCAGTCTGAAATGAATGAATGAATGAATAATTGATGATGACTGATTCACACAATTACATCAACATGGTGCCAAACATCTGTTGTCAAAACGTAATATTTAAGTGAAATACAGCTGGTTCCACATGTTGGAAAAGATGTTTAAAACATAATCTTTAAATAAACTTTTTTAGTCACCTGAGTATCTTGTAGTGAAAAAATACAACCTATCTTTCATTTTTTTTCCCTATGAGGATCATTTGAATGTTACCAGAGGATACAAGTATTGATAATTATCACTGTTATTTACTGATACTCTCATAGTATTCGAAATGTCAATTTAGAGTTTGAGTATGATACTATTAGGTCTGTCATATACAGAAGGAACAAATCATTATTAACTGACTCTGGAAGAAGAGCATTCTCCCCCTTGCATCCATTCATGGTGAAATAAACCATAGGCGGCAGTGGCTTGGGACAGGTACAAACTTGCAGTGGTGAAGAGGCTAAATTTCAAGCACAGAATGCAACCAAGCACCTGTAATTGTTGGATAAGAAATGGTGGCTACTGGGTAACCATAATCACACTTAATTCACACTCTTAATAGGATGGTCAAATGACCAACTTGTGTCTGCAACTACACAATCCAGAGTTAGTAAAAAAAAAAAAAAGCCAAGCTATGTCTTTTAAAGAATAACAGGTGTAAGGAGAAAGGCTAATTTTAATTTTAATTTTAACACTGGTCATTTAATTTGATGCACATTATGCTGATAAACTGCATGATTTTAGGGTAGAATAGTGAGGGAAAGGGATCATTTTGCAAATATTGAAAGGAGAGCTAATGTATCATCTTTCACTGTCCCTATCTTTTAACTAGGGCATAAAATGGCATAAACTGAATCTATAATATGAAATTGCCCAGAAAAGGGACTTGTTTGTGACATGAGGCTAAATCTAACCAGATCCATTGGTGAATTGTGACAGATGGAGGGACTGTGAGACAGAAGGCAGGCACTAATCACACATAAAATGACCGGCTTGCCTCAACATGTTCCATGGATTCCAGCAAACTTTACACCCTAATCCATTTTTAGAACAAAAAACATCTGGGCCATAAATCCTCTAATCTGCCAAAACACGCTATTAAATCCCCTGATTTGTTGAAAAACACTAAGATTAAAGAAAGGAAATATAAAATGGCTAACTGCCGTGTTAGGAAAGTGTTATTAATACGCTTTCTTTGTCTCAATTATGAATGTTCTGGTACTAAAGAGCCTTGTCTAATCATGTCAGATTACACATCCTCGTTATATTACTAGACTCTTCTATCTGATCTGCTGATTGCCAAAAAAACCTAGAATACTTTCGTGCTGCTTAAACATTTCTATTGAAGAAGCTGATGTCAGATTAGCACAGTGCTTTGGTGCTGGAAGGCTTCTAAATGTGGCATGTCTTTTTCCCTTTATTATGCACAGACTGAGCATTGTCCTCTGATCTTGAGGCAGAAAGAGAAGTTCCAGGGTAGGCAACAGAAAGGGGAGCCTTGAGAGATACTATCTATTTTGCTTTTCTGAGCTCAACTCATTGGAACGTATTCAAAAAAACAACACATCCTTGCTCATTATAAATACAATATGAATAAACAACTACTTAGATCTAGGTCAGATTAACCTTTAGGGTTAACATGTACTTTAATTTATGGTCGTTTTTAACCTTCTAGCATCCTCAGCATCCTGACTTGATACTTAAATATTATTCTCTAACTCATTGTGTTCACAAACACTACTCTAGAATGAAATGCTGCTCTTACGTGACAGGGATGTTTTTGGAATATGTTCATTTAGCAAAAGATCTTAAGAAGGTCAGCCTGATTTTCACATCCTCTAAACCCTGCTCAGATGGTAAAGAATCTGCCTGCAATGCTGGAGACTTGAGATGGATCTCTGGGTTGGAAAGATCCCCGTGGAAAGGGAATGGCAACTCACTCCAGAATTCTTGCCTGGAGAATTCCATAGACAGACGAGCCTAGTGGGCTACAGTTCATTGGGTCACACAGAGTCAGATGCGACTGAGTGACTAACACTTTAGTTTCACAAACCTTGTTTATGTATGGCCTGGTACAATGGTACCATGCATTTCTGTAATCTATTTAGCTTCTCCGGAGCACAAATGTATTGGAAATGGTTCGGGACATGGCACTGAGTCAAAGTATGAATTCTTTATGCTTTTTAGGCCCTGCCAAGGTAACACTGTGCAGGAGAAATTATTAATATATATGCAGAAAGGATGAAAATTATTTTGGGGGTGCATAACTGACAGACATATGTTTTGCAATGGCTATTTCCAATGTGAGGTGTGCGTGGGTGTGCAGGTAGATATAGGTGTTCACTTTAAAAGAAATATTCTTGCTTTCAGAGACCTGAGCTTTAGTTAAAATGCTACATGAAATTCTAACATGTATCTGCTGTGTTAAACCAAAAAGCTGTTTATATATTACAGAGTTGAATCATAATAGGATTGTTTGCTGATTCTTTATATTTTGTTCTCATCACAATCACCTACTTCCCAGTCTTGCTGGTTTCTTCTCTCAGTAAAAGACCTCGTTTCTAATTCTGGAAGACCAATAAGGCTGAACTCTCACCTTCATGTCCCACCCAGACTCCTATTCCAGGCCAGCTTCAAATCTATCACCAGTTGTACCCATTACCTCTTTCTATTTCAATGAAAAATCAAGGCAAATCCCCTAAACTCACACTCTAGATTTCTATATCTCTCTACTGGTTATTCTCTTTCACATTTCCATCATCCACTTGGACTTCTCTACTATTGTTACCGTTTCCACTTGCAAGTACCTAAGGCTCTCCTACTGAAACAAGCAAATAAATTCTCTCAACTTCGTGTTGCCCTCTCTTTCCAATCCTGTTTCTTTACCTTCCAAACCAAATTTCTCAGGATTCATATCACATACTCTCATTCCTACCTCCCTTCGCATTCTCACTATAGTCTCGTTTCCACTGCCCTTGCTTTTTCAGATGCCAAACCCAAGGGCCACCTTCCATTCATGGCAGAAACAGGTAATCCCCTTGTTACTGAAACTCTTTCCTTCCCTGTTTCTCATCACAGCACTGGATCCTCATCTCAATTACTCCATCCTCATATCCTTGCATGAGATCCTTCTTCATCTGCCCCTTAAATTTGGTCCAGGATTTCAATCACCAGAAAATAATTTGTGCTTCGGAGTTGGATAAAACTGAACCTTACTACTTACTCCCTATATACAAAATGTAAACACTGTTTTACCTTTCTAAATCTCAATGGCCTCACTGGCTACATGGAATAACCTCATTAGATAATATGGCTTTGTGAAGATTAAATTAGTTAATATGGTCTATTAGCATAAATAAATGGTCCATGAAAGTTATTCAGTAACTGTCAGTTTAGTTACAGAATGGCATAGTGAAACAGGTAAAACTTGGGCATTGGATTCACATGGATCCAGGTTTCTACTTCTTAGGAAGTGTGATATTTGCCAAATTATAACACTTAATTTCACTGAGTTTCCATTTCTCTCAACTGTAAAATGAACATAAGGCTAATGGGAGAATCAAATGAAATAACACGTGAAGGAGTAGATAACACTTGGTATATCTGAGGAGGCAGTAGAAAAAAATGTTCTTGCATCTTTTTCCTCTTTCATTTTTCCCTATATGCTCATCCTTAGCAGTCCTGTTGCACAGCTTTGACCACTATGATAAAATCTGTGAGGGGATATCCTTTGTTGTTGGTACCAGGTTCAGTGAAATGGGAGTCACACATTAGAGTTCAAAAGACCCCGAATGAACACTTGATACATTTTATTCTGCCTTCATTATATACTTGAGCAATAAGTACATCTCAAGACAGGATCAGAAGGAAGCGTAAGTGTTTAGGAGAGGTTTGGTAAGCTTCTTATGAGGAAAATGGGAGGGCAAAGACCAATATGGCTTCCAGTTAGCACCTCAAATGACATTTGGGAAATGCAGGTTAGGAATCATTAATGTAAGAAAGGTGTGAAAGTCTGTGACTGTGTTACACTTACCACAGTTTGATTTTTCATACCTTGGAGTTCGTTCTTAACCATAATCAACAAAATTCTCAAAATTAAAAAAGTCCCTATTATATAAGGACTGATGCTGAAGCTGAAACTCTAATACTTTGGCCACCTCATGCAAAGAGTTGATTCATTGGAAAAGACTCTGAAGCTGGGAGGGATTGGGGCAGGAGGAGAAGGGGACGACAGAGGATGAGATGGCTGGATGGCATCACCGACTCAATGGACATGAGTTTGAGTAAACTCTGGGAGTTGGTATGGACAGGGTGGCCTGGCGCGCTGCGATTCACGGGGTCACAAAGAGTCGGACATGACTGAGGGACTGAACTGAACTGAACTGATTATATATTTTTTGGGCTTCCCTGGTGGCTCAGCGGTAAAGAAACCTCCTGCAATACAGGAGACCTGGGTTCAATCCCTGGGTTAGGAAGATCTCCTGGAGGAGGAAATGGCTACCCACTCCAGTATTCTTGCCTGGAGAACTCCATGGACAGAGGATCCTGGAGGCCTATAGTCCAATGGGGTCACAAAGAGTCAGACATGACTGAGTGTATACACATACATTATATATTTTAAGGGGCCAAAAGCAGGGACCAACTGGAAAGTCCAATCTAGAGGGGATAAAATCTAAATAGAAAGAGTGAATGAATGGCTGTTTCACAAGGGCAGAGCCTGTTAAAAGGTGGAAGGAAAAACAACAAACTACTTGTAATGGGTTGAACTGTGTCTCTCAAAAAGATAGGCTGTGTCCTAACCCCTGGTATTGGTGAATGGCATCCTTATCTGGAAACTGAGCCTCTGCAGAT